AGCGGGGAGAAGCTCAAAATCCAGAGCATTTTCCAAGGGAAGCCAAGAGTCCGAGGGGACACGACAGACACGTTGCACAAATTGCCATTCCATTTGGAGAGACTTTTGGCAGGCAATATAACTAGTATTTGTATTTGATGACGAACGGTACTAGTATGTTATAGCAACAGGAACCAAACAACAGGAACCAAACAACAGGAATCAAACAACAGTACCGGCAGGGAATCCATGCATGTCGCTATAGCTAGTTAGCCAATGTGCATGCAAGCCAACAGTGGGCCATAGCTATAGCCAGCTAGTTGGATCGGAAACTGAAACAAACCTGAGGCAAGGCCAACAGCAATAGCATGCCCAAGAAGGCTGAAGATGGTGGCAGCAGCAATCTTCTTCTGGATGTGGACCAAAATTTTACCTCCAATATTGAGATGATTGAAAAGAGTAATATCCCAACTACTACCACTACCCAGCAAACTCAAGATGCTTCTTCAACGTCAGGGAAAGAAAGCACCGAAACTCTCCCTCCAGCAGTGGGAATACAAGTAATACCAGAAGCAACACATGAAGAAAGCCATCCTGTACCAGTGCCACAAGACGGGCCCATCACATTTCCGGGTGCCTTTCCTCCAGATGGCATCGGACAGGACCAGGCACCTATCGATGCTCTCGTCATACATGCCATGAGAGACGAAAATCATGAAGATATCAATCTACTAAACCAGAATGTAGGAACAAGCGCTCAATCAAACCAAAGGTCCAAGCGGTACTGGAGGCAAAGGCTGTTTTGTGTCCTTTCGTTGGAAGTCAATGTGGTTCTCTTGGCAGTGATTGCGGTACTCTTGGTGTTTATGGCAGTGTCTAATACAGGCAATGGCAGCAGCAACACAAACAGCCAATCAACAGCTATTGAAATTTCTGGAGCTCTAGAACTATCAACGCCAACCATGGCACCAACAAAACTTTTGGATTCTCTCAATCTACCAGAGTATACACTGGAAGCTTTAGAAAACCCCAGGACTCCCCAGTCCAAGGCCTATCAATGGCTGACTACCAATCTCAACAACAACCAAAACTCTACACTCCAGGATCTTCCAAAATGGAGACTGACACAGAGATTTGCTTTGGCCACATTTTACTATTCTACACGCGGAGACTACTGGGTCAAAAAGCATGGCTGGATGGATTGGGAAACCAATGAATGCAACTGGGAACAAATGCTTTCACGTGACAATAAGAGTCCGGAATCACACTGCAATGAGATGGGGGAAATCAAGGGATTATCATTTCTAAATGCCAACAATCTGGAAGGAATGCTTCCACCTGAGATATCATTGCTTGGCCATAGTTTGCAGTTTCTCATATTCAATCGACAACTGGAGCTAACGGGGAGCATCCCAACAGAGATTGGACATCTGACAAAATTGACTGACTTAACGTTGAGTGCCACAGGGCTCTCTGGCACTCTTCCAACCGAGCTTGGTCTACTGGGAGTTCTTGACTATCTTGTGATTGCGCACAATCAAATGGTCTTTGGGACAATCCCTACCGAGCTTGGCAATTTATCCAACCTCGCATGTTTCCAGCTCGTCAAATCATATCTGACAGGTATGTGTTTGGCTTCCTTGGTGTGCCAGCACCGATGCGTTACAGCTGCTGACATTTTGAAACCCTTGGCTGTCTACAACAAACCATGCAATTCAGGATCGTTCCCCAAAGAGTTTTTCAAGTTGACACAGTTGGAAGTGTTGAATGTGGATGACTGCCCAGGACTGAACACTTCAGCTGTCCTCCCAGGTGTTGTTGAAAGCATGCACCAGCTGAAACAGCTTGTCTTGTCAAGCCGGACTTTTGGAGAAGTGATGCCTGTTCCATGTTAGTTTTTGCCAAAGGGGCTTTATGGTGGAAACTCTGATGATTGGTGGCTGTCTCTCACTTTATGCTCTTCTTGCCTTTGATAGCCCAGATTGGCTTGCTTAGAAACATATCCAATTTAGGGTTGACCAACTGGAAAATCAATGGCACCCTACCACCAGAACTTTGGAGTTTGACAGCATTGGTGAGTGTTGTTGCTGTGACCAAGAATTCTGGGGATTGAATGTTGGTTTTGATGCTTGCTTACAAGCGACTGTGACTTTTGATAGAATTTTTTGAGTTTGGATGGCAACTCAATCACTGGGACTTTGCAACAATCTATGTTTTCATTGACTTGTAAGTACTGCAAATATACCTTGTTGAATGATCCTGCGCTCATGTCATGCTTGTCTCTCAATCTGATAGTTCTATCCAATTTAGATCTTGGCACTAACCAGATGGAAGGAACACTTCCACCTGATCTCTTTTCAAAGCTCACAAAGCTGCGATACTTTCAAATCAACAACAATCCATTTTCTGGTTCTATTCCAACAGAAGCTGGCCTACTGTCAAGTCTGAAGAAGCTAGAAATGCACAATACAAATCTATCAGGTACAATTCCAGCAGAAGTACTTGCTCTGGATAACTTGACAAGCTTGGTAGTGGCAAATACATCCTTGTCAGGCAGCATCCCTGAACAACTCTGTGGCAAAATGTATCAGCAGGAGTTGAAATGTTTTGGTGGACAGTGCTACCAGGTCAAGAGTGACAATCCAATCTTCCAGGGAACCTCTCTTTGTGGTTGTGACTGTGTTCCTTGCCAGTAGCGATCTAGTGGTATCAGGTATGGAGTGCAGAAGTTTTCCCCGTTGGGATCATTTGATCCCGTATGGTTCATTTTTTAGTTTAGAGCCTTTCGATACCGCACCGAGAGAGCTCGCCCTTGCTCTCAAAACACTCACTACTTATTGGCAGACAGCATTTCAAAGCAAGCAGACAATAACGCACAAAACTATGTCCAACTCGAACAACTTCCTTTGTGCTCCAGCATAAGTTCCTTTCAAAGCAAGCAGACAAACAACAATAACGCACAGAACTATGTCCAACTCGATCCACTTCTTTGTGCTCGAGCATAAGTTCCTGGGTGAGAAGAACGGTAAGCAACGATGAGAGAGTGGCGTCTTTCGTTTTGCTCTTTTGTTTCGCGGAAGATTGGCTCAAAATCAGAAATTTTCTTCTGTGGTTTGTCAGGTGCAAATGTTGCCGAGATTCGTAGGGTGAGGCTCCCCAGGATCGTCAAGGGCGTATCCTATGAACAGCTGGGAGGCTTCCAGAATCCGTCATGTTTTTGTGATTTTGAATTCAAACTGGCCTATCAAGATGTCGATGACGACGCTGTGGTGATTGGCAGCTCGGAAGAGCTCCTGGACGTAATTGAGCAGATCTCGGAGCAACGAGTCCCCAAGATGACTGCCCAAGTGACGCCGCAGTGCAGTCCAGACGGAAATGAGGGAGCCCTCCGACGATCGGCCACCACTCCAGCCAAAACAATTCTTGAAAACGAAGCAAATCTTGTGTTGCTGGGAAATCTGGTGCAGCAGTCTTGGGGCAACATTGGATGAACCTCAGGTATACCTGCAAAACCTGTAGGGATGCCTGCGACCGCCTAACGACGCCTGAGGTTTCCTGTGGCGACAGATTGGTGATCTCTTTGGATGGGGTATGGCAACAGAAACGGAGCCTCGTTTTCACACCTCCCTGGCTCATCCGAATGTATCCAGATCCTACAGTACGGTTGGAGAGGGGGGAACACGGGCACGACGCACTGGCACAAGATCCGCTTCGACCCCAATACTAGTTTGATCCATACCGGAGACTCCGCCCAGCTTGCTTGTCAACGACAACGCACAACTCTGTCATAGACCAGCCAGAAAGGCAGTCGATGCACAGTGTCTGTCGTTTTCATCGGCTGTGGGATTGAAGAGAATGGACCAGCCGATCTCCAATGCAAACACTACGTCTTTGGTATTGCCTTTCAAAAGTGCCGCCATGGCTGAGCATTGGAAGCTCTCCGGTTCCAGTAGTACCGTACCGACGCCAACCCCATCTTGTGCATCCGCCGAGGAAACCACGTCTACCGCAGAGGACACCACTTGGGCCACAGACGAGGGCTGCATTCGTAGACTTTTTAAATATAGATAGCCATGAATAGCACACATGTAGGCATCCCTGTCCTACTTGAATGTATCTATGCTACTACTGTATCATCAAAATGGAAGAAGATATTTGAATAGAACGTATACTTATAGCTTATAGTATGTAGTAGAACTCACATTTACAAAATTGGGTAAGCTGTGTGGCGTTGTATTAGCATTGGAGGTGGATGCGTGTGTCTGGTATGTAACGGGTAGCTAGCTAGTAGCTGGGAGACATCTCTTTGTACAAGAATTTGTGTCTCCTCCAGGCGGCAGTCTCTGCTTCCTTCAGGGGTCGAGTTTGATGGACTGAATGCTTCAAAACTCAGTCTCTTGTGTTTGTATGTATGTGCAGTTCGTTTTGTACCTATGTACAAGAGTCTTTGCTCTGTTTCGGTTTGTTTGTTCAGTAGTAGTAGTTGCGCAATCGATAGGATCATAATAATCATATCAACCCATGGGCATCAATGTGTCCCAGTTTCAATGCCATTTGCACGGCCCACTGGGAGCTGTCTTCGGAAAACTTGCGCAATTCTTCCGGATTGTGCGACCCCGTTTGCTTTTGCACTTGATGCATGGAGAGCAACACACGCCGATGCCGATGTTTCAGCATGCGAATCTTTTTGGAATGCGACGTGAGGGCGCTCTCTTTCTCGTCGTCGTCGTCGTCGTCGTCAGTATCATTTTGATCATTGGCACAGGCTTCGTAATGCAATACTTTTTCTAGTCCGCGTGGATTCAAGTCGGGATTGCTTTGAATGAATTGGTAGAGTGCCTTGGCACTGGTGGCACATTCGGCGGCATGTCGAAGGACCTGAGCGTCGTGTTGGGCCATGTAGACAAACTGAGAGAAGTCTTCCGATCGATACCACGCTTGTTCCTTTTCATGATCGGTCTGGCATGTTTGCACTTCCAGTACCGATCGCTTGTCCGAGAAGGACACTCGTTTGGCATGGCATTCTCTCTTGTGCTTCTTAGCGGGGCTACCCTCGGCTGAAGCGGGATAGGGACTAACAACAGAAGAACTACTGTGTGACGTAAATTGGCGTCGTTCTGGACTACTGCAAATTGCTGTCTCTAAGGAACGCTTAGGTGATCCAATCGGTTCTTTAGATCGCTCTTTGGCCGCCATGGCCATGGCTGCTTTCATGGTATCGCGTCTGAGGGAAGCAGAAAGCTTGGAAGATGGCGCAGATGATGGCTGTTGCTGTTGTGCAACTACAGGAAAGGCCAGCAAGCGCTGATCTTCAGGAGGAGCAAGCTCAATGGCGCTGTTGTACTCAATCACGGCGAGGCTCATCCTACGGTAGTCTCTATGGTGAACTACAGTGGCTGCCAATGAATGAATGAATGAGCTATCAATCACCTATCGGATTATCCCAACCAGATACCGTGGCTTAATGCTGTCGCATCAGCCTCTGTCGTCGTCCACTTTGGACAGCTCTCTTTGTCTTTTCAACTGCAACTACACACACAGTCTCCTCGTGGACAAGCCAATGATCCCCATCAAACGAATTCTTTTTGGCCCACGTGTTCTCAAATCCACATCAATCAAAAGGGCCGAGTCGAGTCCAGTCGAGTCTGCCATCACTCTCGGTTGTGTCCATCACTCGGACAAAGCAACTCGCCATCCTCTCGGACTCTTGCAATTTGTATGCTGATGGGCTCGATGATGCGGCGCGTTGTCAAGCTTCATCATCAAGTCCATCGTTGCTTACGTTGACAATTGTGGAAGCAAAGATGATGTGGCACCACAAGGGAGTTGGAACGTTCCGATGCATGACGTGGATTCAAAGGTGGATTCGATTTAATGAGGAAGTTGAAGGAAATGACTTACGTAATGCAACTTACTTATGCCCAGCATGACGTGGATACATCAATTCATCGCTACTATACACATTGATCCCTGACCCTAACAAACTTTTGAGCCAGACGCGTCAACAGAAAGAGGCAACCGTGCTCAGTGCAGATCATGCCCGCGGCACCATGGGACGAACAACCGGCAGCTCTACTAAAATAGCTAGAAGGGCACAAGGATCAAGGAGTCACAGACGAGAGAGAAACTTCACGATTCTCGGTTGGATCGTGTGCGATTGACTACAGTTTCACGAGTGGGTCCCATGGACACAGTCCTCCATCCTCCACGTCGACGGTACGGTATCTCATCCATGCTGGGAATCCAACTGCGGTAAGCAATGGCAAGTATTGCCAAACGGTGCAGTCCCTTTTCGATGAAGAAAAGACAGACTCGACTTAGTAGGAAAGGTCCTTGTCTTGCGTGCCTTCTTGCATTAAGCTTACGTGTGCCGATGATATCTAAAGTGAATTGGCGTCTTCACAGTATACGGGCTACCGGTCCACTCGCAAAGAGCCTCAACTGACAAACGTGGAGTCTCTTCGCCGGTGTAAGACTCTCGTTGGCTTTGGCATCCCGTTGTCTTGTTCACTTTTTGACCATCCGAGATTTGCCAAGCCACACAAAACTAGCAGTTCTCACCGTGCTGGCTGATCCAGGTTACGTCGCGACTTCTCCATTGCACAAATTTGATTAGAACAGGTAACAATGGCACCGAAAGGGATTACTTTCGAGCAAGCTTTTGCTTCCTTGCGGACCAAGTTCCACGACGTAACGTTGAAAGGCAATGATGAGGTTACAGTCCGTGCTAATCGCACTGCACTAGCAAGCAGGTGTGAATTCTTTGAAAAGTTGTTCTTTAGTGACTTCAAAGAAGCTCAGTGTGAGACTGTACAGATTGGCTTTCCAGGAGCAGTTCTTGAAGCGACGGTGGAGTACATACTCACCAACAAGGTTGCCATCTTGGACAATCCCAACAGCAATGAAGCTGAAGCACTAGAAAAACTCAGGACTGTACTGTTGCTTGCCAGTGCCGCCGCCTACTTTGATCTCGAGGAGCTTGGTGAGATGATCAAAAAGGCCGTCACCACCTTTGTTGAGGATGCCCAGCCGTCTCTTTGCTTTGCGGTATTGGAAGAATCTCTGAAAAACAATTTGTCCGAAGAGTTCGAGGAGGTGGCACTGGCCAAGATCCATTCTAATACCAGCAACTGCTTGCATGGAACAGCCATCAGAGATGTTCATCTATCTGTCTTGAAACGAATTTTTCTAGATGATCGAATCAAGTCCTCCTTGCCAGCCTTTCGGGCCTTTGAGCTAGTGCAAGCATGGGCTCGTACCGAATCTGCTGAAGACAAGACAGTTGCAGCCAAATCATTGATTGTAGAACACGTTGACCTTGAGACCATTGCTCCTTTGGAGCTGTCCTCAAATGTTTCCTCTAGTGGTTTGGTGACTTTGGAACAGCTAACAGAAGCATACAAGAGACAAGCATTGAGGGCAGCAGAAGTGTTAGAGTTCCCCATCAGGCAAGTTTTTGGTCAGAAATTGACAGCAAGTTTTACTGTGACATCAACTGGATGGATCAGCAACTGCATTGCTTGTGCCCCAATCACAGAAGGCAAACATCAGTGGACAATTGACGTGAAGAAAGACATCAATACACACATTTGGCTCGGCATTGCTACACCCACAGGATTCAGCACTACATTGCAACAGAAAACCTATTTGGGAACGGGCGTATGGAGTTACCGCGGGAATTGCCAGACACACAATCAATGCCAGACTCTATCCAATGGCATGACATTCGCGCAAGGCTCCAGAGTAACCTTGACATTAAGTCTTTGTCCCAATGATGTGAACCATGGGAGTCTTTCCATCTCAGTGGATGGCAATTCCCCAGTGACTTCCTTCACCAATTTGTGCAATTTCGTTGGAGATGGTGGATTCATGCCTGTGGTAACCATGCACTACTGTGGCAGCAGTGTAGAGCTTGTGGACAAGATGGAATTGGTTTGATTTGTTAACCCTTGTGAGCAGGAGCTTCTCTCACATTCTGGGATTGATGGAGATATTATGAGTGTGGAGCTGCACCGGTATTGTTATAGACTCACGCTGATGTAATGGCCTGCACTCCACGAATCCCCCACCCCATAAAAACGATCAGCAATTCCATTTTTATTGACAGTATTTCTATCCAGTCTGCTGGGGTCAGAGCATGCACTGCACTGTGTCTGTCTTCTATTCCCATTAGCTTCACCGACTGGGACCTTACATACACTAGCAAACTCGTGGATGTTGAGTCTCCTGGTTGCCAAGACTGTGGTGTCACTGCTGAGAAGGCCCTTTCCCAGTGCAAGAAGCTGCAAAAGACAAAGTACCACAACACTGGTGCATCACCCCCTTTGTTGTTTCTGTTGATGGACTCTTTGCTCCTGAAGCTTCTGCTGTTCTCAAACGGCTCTCCCAGCTGTTGGCTCACAAGAGGTCCAAGCCCTACTCTGTGGTTCGCTCGTTTGTTTCTGCTTGATTGAGCATTGCCCTTGCTCAAGCGACGACAATGTGCCTGAGAAGCTCTCGTGTTCCGGCTCTCAAGATCTCAAAGTGTTGGGATGACCGTGGTGCTCTTGATCTCTTTCACTAGTCTGACTCCTGTGATCCTCTCCACCCTCCTCCCTTGCCACCCTCTCCTTCTTTGGTTTTGCTGTTGCCCACTCGGTTGCAGTAGTACATCGGTGAAACAAATACTAAATAGATACGAAGACCCCATTTCGATGGATCATTCGCAACTCCATCGTTTCAGGTTCGAAAAGGAGCGGCCGACGACAGCCTGGGCCACAAACCATTCCACGCCACGATAATAGGTGTTGAAAGAGTCAAGTCAGACTTAGCCACGCGAACGTGCTCCTCCAGTACTGTAAGGTAGCCCCCCACGATTGCCGTGGGGACAAACCAAAGCAATCGATTGATACCGGTTCCTACCTCCTACCAGTATGCTACCGTATCCATTCCACGCCACGATCCACTCCACGTCGAACGTGCTTTCTGAGAGTGTTCCTGGTTCTGTACCTCACGAAATTTGGGGCGCATGGAAGAAGAGTTTGGAGCGTGGAAGAAGTAATGCATCAACTTCCTGAGCTGCTCATTCTTGGGATCATCACGAACTCAAGGGGTCGTGGTCATCCTTCTTGTTCAGTGCATACAACACAAGAACAATGCCCCCCAAAACCAGGTTTCCTCATTCGACGGTGCCTCCCTTCCGCAAAGCTTTCGCTTCCTTATGGACTGATGAAGCATTCCATGATGTCATCTTAAAGGGCACTGATGGAGTTGCCATCCCTGCCAATCCCTCTGCACTTGCATGCAGGTGCCAATTTTTCCGCAAGATGTTCTTCAGTGGCTATAAAGAAGCTCAGAGCAACACCGTGGAGATTGGCTTTCCAGGAGCAATTCTGGAAACGACTGTGGAGTATTTGCACACAAACAAGGTTGCAAAGTTGGATACTCCAAAAATCGACCCATTGGAACTGGCAGTATCACAGTTTCAGACTGTTTTGTCGCTCACTGACGCTGCGGCGTACTTTGATCTTCCAGGACTTCACCAGCTGACTCTGAAGAGCATTCAGAGGTACCTTGATTCCCGCCCTCAGCTTGCTTTTGTCATCCTGCAAGCGTCGCAGGAAAAGAGCAACTCCGCAGAGATTGAGAAGATGGCAATTGCCAAGATCCAAGCCAACATCAAGGAATGCTTGAACACAACTGTGATTATGTTTAAGGTGGTTGACTCGTCGGTTGTCAAGAAGATCCTTCACGACAATGGCATCATGTCCTCATTGACGGCTGCTCAGGTGTTCCAACTGATTCAAGCATGGTCTGACAACCGTGCATCTTCCGAGGCTACTTCTGCCGCCAAAGAGTTGATTGCAAAGCATGTCCGTCTGGCGGACATCCCTCCATCCCAGCTGTCCATGATTGTAGAGTCTTCTGGGCTGGTAACCAAAGAACAGATCACAGCCACCTACAAAATGCAAGCAATCAAAATGGAAGAACAGTTACTACATGGGTTCACTGGCAGTTCTTTGCTTCAATGGAAAGGATCAAAATCAAAGATCTTTACTTTGGAATCCGAAGGATACAAAAGTGATTGCACCGACCGCATGCCCATCAAAGCCGGCAAACATCAGTGGACAATTGACGTGAAGAAAGACATCTATACACATTTGGCTCAGCATTGCTACACCCACCGGATTAAGCGCCACATTGCAGCAACCAATCTATTATGGAAAGGGTGTTTGGAGTTACGAGGGCGAGGGCTATTCATACAGTGAAGGCAATTGCGTCGATCTAATGAGTCCAACATTTGGTGTAGGCTCCAGAGTATCCCTGACATTGGATTTATGCCCCGATGATGTGAACAACGGGAGCCTTTCTATCTCAGTGGATCGCAAGTCCCCAGTCACTTCCATCACCAATTTGCGCAATCGCCTTGGAGATGGTGGATTCATGCCTGTGGTAACCATGCACTCAGCGGCGACAGCGTAGAGCTTGTGGACAAGGCGGAATTGGTTTGATTGATTCTTTGTTGCTTATTTCATTGCAAAGTTTATCCTCCTTTTGGTTTATGAACCAATAATCACGGGAGTGTGTTGCAGGAGCAACTGTTAACACGTCTGTATTGACTCGGTTGTATTGGCTGGATATGCCTGAACCGTTTATGGATAGCCATATTTTATAATCGGATTGATTGCATCGTTCCTTTTCAATACAGGTAGCTTCCAGGTTATTAGAGTTCGCTCGCCGCCAGATTATTGTTCCGTGCTTGCTCCTCAGACTGAAGTTTGACGGCCGACAAAACTGGCGGGGGCTGTAGCACCTACAACTAGCAAATGTGCTAATAGCTTGTGAATTCTTGTGGTTCCGAATCGTCTTCCTCCAATGCCATGGCCACGTCTCTCACCTTCAAAATTCGTTGCCAATGATCCATGGCACTGTCAATTGTGGTGGTAGTATCTTGATGTTGATTGTCATCGGCTCCTTCCTGTTGTTGCCAACAACAAATCAAGTCGTTACGATTGTCTTCTTCCCCCAAACTCTTGGCATAATAGCAAAAGGGCATGCGTGGCATTTTGGCTCGTTCTCTGGCTTGGGTGCGACTGAGCAGGAGCACTTGTCGCAGCATACGACGTGATTGTTGTTGTGGCGACAAAATGGCAACGGTATTTTGATCCTCGAGTCGGTGGGCAATGGTTTGGAGTGTCGACCGATCCGTGGGTCGAAGTCCGACCATGCGTCCAATGGGCAAGGTGGGAAGAAAGTTGTAGGATTCCACAATCAATCGGAGCGCTGGATCATTGTCGTCATTGCTATCGTTATTCTGTGGCGGCAGCAGTGGTTCCCACGTGTCAAAAGTAGATTGTCGATTCCAGATGGGTGAGAGCAATGCCACGCGAGCTTGCAGGAGGATGCGCCGAAACCCATGATAGTTGCCTCGTGGAACCCAGAGCAAGACTTGGATGCGACCGCACCAAATGGGAGCTTCTACCAGTCGATTTATATGATTCAATAGATGATGATTCTGGTTGGGGATTGTGGTTGTGGAACAGCTGTGACTACACAAGTACTGTTGGGACATTCCTAGGGCATCCAATAGAATCGTGGCTTTCGAAAAACAGAGGGTGGGATGCTGGGCATCATCATCATTGTCAAAAAAAGCTGAGTATTCTTGCAGAAAGGCTTGCACAAAGTCCACGGCTCGTTGGACCAGAACACGGACTTGGTCGAGACGACAACGCCTGACAATCGAAGCATCATCCTTGTTACTTCTTGCAGCGACGACTTGTTCTTCTGCTTTTTCCAGAGACGCCCGCCATGAGCGAAACATGGACTTCAATTCATCACTGACAAATCGTCGTAGCGTCGCTTCACATGCTCGCAGGTGGTGTCGATCGACCACAATGGATACGTAAAAGGTGCTCAGAGACCGAGGATCCAAAAACGGGAAAATGAGGCGTGGAAACAGCTCCAAAGGCAACTTTTCCAAAACGACAGCACCACTGCTGCTGTTCTTCTTCAATAATGAGGAGGTCGGCTCTGCATCAGTCATTCTCAATTATTGTAGTAGAAGTAGCAGCAGTCAACATGGAGCTCAGAGTGATGGTACTAATACCTGGCTACCACTTGCTTCATTGTTGTCCTTCTGTCCTCCAGTGTTCAAAACCTGTGAGAAAATCGAGAAAGTAACCCTAACTAACCTCGATCCTTGTAGACACTGCCCTCTAACTCATACTAAGAAAAGAAAACTTTTGTTAAGGCTTGAAAAACCCATGGAAACTAAAGCTATTTATATAGTTGCAAAGCTGAAGCAAAATCATTTTAAGCCATGAAACTCATTTCTATACCAAAGGAATTTTACCATTAGTTCATCAAGTGCAGAAAGGGAAGCCATGCTTAATTCGCGGAGTCCATTGGAATTATCTAAGATCTTCACGATTACTACTAGTAGTATTAATACCTGCTGACTGCTGAGGAAGCTGGATTATCCAGACCTGCTTCGGAGAATTATGGAAATTCCAACCAGTCTTGGTGGTTGTGGATGAGGGGTGGAGGCGTGGAGGCAACAGCATCCAAAGCAGAAGAATGATGAATCGAATCTGATGATGACGACAGCACATGTACAATTAATTTTTGTTGTTGTTTTGCGGCAGTGATTGGTGGAAGAGACACGTCCACAAGTCAGTGGCTGGAGGAAGAAACCAATGTAATCATGTCCTCGTACCCATCTGGCCGAGAAGTGGAGATGACTGACTTTTTCACCAACTGCCAGAAGCAACACACAAATCAATCTTCTGACAACTGTAGCACCATAATGGAACTATCAGCAGATTCCGGTCACATGGATGAGGAGGGAAAAATGCCGTCGTTGCAGGCAGGTACTCCTTTGATGGGACATCGCCTGCCTGAAGGCAACAGTGGAGGTGACTTTTTCTTACTGAACCGAAAGAGAACTGATTTGCCCGTACTGGTTGTCAACAAATCCGCGTCTGATGTATCTGCATATGACATGGGGGGAAATCGTGGCTACGTCTCCAATCTACGAAATGACCCAAGAATCCCTCAAATTTTTCAGAGCATCGTACAGCTCCCTGAATCTCTTGAATCCAACTTGGCTACATCAACAGCAGCAAGGGCGCCAATTCTACCAGGGGCCTACGCTGTCAATGGTATTTCGCCACGTCCAGTTCATGATATATTGACAGAATTCCAACAACCTGAACTTCGCAGGACTCTGGCACAACATCCGCGACCAACGATTCCTGGGGCCTATGCTGTCGAAGGAATGGGCACTGGTAATGATGTGGGGGGCAACTGGGGAGAGTACGGGCAGATTTCTGAAGCAACAAGTGTTACCGCAGAATATTCTGAATCAATGAGCGCTTCAACAGATCATAATGATGGCAATCAACAAATGGAAATTCTAGAACCAGTTGCGCCCCCAAAAGGCAGGCACTATTGGCGGAAAAAGTTGTTCCTCGCCTTTTCATTCCAAGCAAACTGTGTTCTCAGTATCGTGATACTCCTGCTGGTGATACTATTCTTCATTCTAAAAGTACAAGGCGGCAACTTGAGTCAATCAACAGAAGAACAGAATGGGGTGATTCAAATTCCAAACACTCAAGCAGCAAATCCAACAGAAAACCAAGTGGCACCAACAACCTTTTTGGATTCACTAGATCTACCAGAATACACACTCTATGCGATGGAACGTTCACAGTCTCCTCAATCCAAAGCCTATCAATGGCTGACCAACAATATCCAAACTGCATCTTTTGAGCCTTTACCAAAATGGAGACTGCTACAAAGGTTTGCTATGGCCACATTCTATTATTCTTTGAGAGGAGACCACTGGGTGAAAAATCATGGATGGATGGACTGGGACACAAATGAATGCAACTGGGAACAAACACATTTTGGCCACATTGACTCCCCAGAACTCCACTGTAATGAGAAAGGAGAAATCAAAGCATTGGAATTTAGGATCACCAATAATCTGGAAGGGACGCTTCCACCCGAGATCTCATTCTTGCGCAACAGCTTGAAAACACTTGCATTCCTGCGAGAGTTGCAAGTCAAAGGAACGATCCCAACAGAGGTTGGACTGCTGACAAAACTAACACTGTTAGATTTCACTGCAGTTGCAATTTCTGGCACAGTTCCAACCCAGCTCGGATTACTGCAGAGTCTAGAGGAACTCGTGATTTCTACAACACCGATTTCTGGCTCTCTGCCTTCAGAGCTTGGAAAACTAGGCAACTTAACAAGCTTCCAAGTGGTCAATACAGACCTAACAGGTTCGTTTGCCTGGTGCTTCTTTGGATTTGTGTCCATCCAATACTGCTGACAACCCTCATTTTCTCCACTATCCAAGGCTCCCTCCCTGTTGAATTCTTCCGAATGCATCAGCTAACAGCGATAGCTGTAATGCACAGCCCTGGACTGATCTCTGACTCTCTACTTCCAGAGGTCATTGGGAACATGCCAAGACTACAATTCTTAGCACTCGACCAAAGGAAATCTGGTGATGAGATGCCATTGCCTTGTAAGGAGCAACGCTTGAGCTTTGTTTCCTGAGTTTTATGTTGACTGACGTGAGTTTTAACTTGGTTTCTCTGCACAGCTGAAATTGGCATGCTATCCGAGCTAGATAACCTGCATTTGGCTGACTGGAAAATAGATGGCACTCTTCCAAAAGAGCTTGGGCACTTAACAAGCCTGGTGAGTACTGTAGTTGTCAGAAGCGATTGTGATAATTTGATTTTGAGGACTCACAGAGGTCCCAAACTGCAGTATTTTCTGGGCCTTGAGGGAAACTCAATAGCAGAAACTATTCCTCCCATCCTGTTCCAGTTGACGAGTGAGTAGAATGTTGCAATACAGTTGAAATCTCCAGATGTTGTTTTGTGCTTCTCTCATCTGGTTTCTTTTCCTTTCTGTCCTTTCAGATTTGATTAGCCTAAACATTGAATCCAATCATTTGGAAGGGTCACTTCCCCCTTTGCTCTTTTCCAAGTTGACAAACTTGCAATACTTGCGAATCAATAACAATCAGTTCTCTGGCTCTATTCCAACGGAGGTTGGTCTTCTCTCCAATCTCAAGAAGCTACAACTACAGAATACAAATTTGTCAGGTCCCTTACCCATGACGGAACTTCTTGCTTTGAGGAATTTGACAAGCTTGGTAGTCGCAAACACATCATTATCAGGCAGCATTCCTGAAGAGATGTGTGGCAGAATGAGTCAGTGGGAGAAGAGCTGGTTTGGTGGAGAGTTCTATGAAGTGAAGAGTGAAAATCCAGTATGCCATGGGACTTTCCTCTGTGGTTGCAACTGTACTGGATGCGTCTAGACACTCACGAAGTAACTACCAGGGAACCCCAGGCAGCATCCTGAAGATTTGTGTGGCAAGTTGCACCAATAGGAAATGAGATGCTATGGCCTTCAGTCCTGTTCGCGGGTCCGAGTGAAGACGATCACAACAATCTGCCATGGAACAATGTGGGTGTGGATGTTGCCCTTGTCCAGTAACCCAACAAATTGAAAGATAGAATCGAATCGAATGTACCGGCAGTGATTCATTGAGGTATTTTGTGCGGGTTACGACAAACCCTGGCACACAGCTTATTGAATAGTACAGAATCCAAGCAAGTTGGCTTTTTAAAATGGGTTCAATACTATGGTGAGTTAGACTTCTACTTGCGTGCCAGCTCCCTTTTCCTTTGCGGCGGAGAGCTCATCAACTTGCTGCTGCAAGGCGTTGATTGTGTGGGCCATGTTGGAAATTATTCGAAGGAGAGCCTCATCATCCTGCAGAGTTTGCACGGCGAGGAGCTCGTCTTGGTGGGTAAGCGGTACCATGGCTTCCTCCTCCTCTTCGAGAGCAGTCTGGTCTTGGAGTTGGAGGCTGGAGGCGACTGCAATGGAGAAGAGATCAGATCCCGCCCGGCTGCTCTTGGCTGAGGCGTCGTATTCTGCCAGGTGGCCTCGGAGGCTTTCAATAGCGAGCTTCTTCTTTTCACCGGCCCTATCTTGATCCCATTCCTGTGTCAACGTGTTTTGAAAGAAGGCCCCCCATGGTTTTCCATGACTGCTGTCTTTCTCGATCTTCTCGAAGAGAGCTACGACAAAGCTCTTGACCAGATCAGTGATGACAAACCAAAGAAGAGCCCAGGCCCAGACAAGGCCAGCATTTCGCCAACCGATGCCACTCATTCCATAACCAGATCCAATGACCCAGTTATCCTCCCAGTACACGGCAATTAGAGTAGCGATTCCCAAGGAGAACGACAGGGCGGCAATTACAAACTTGCTCGGTGGAGGGATGCCCACAAAGTGGCCGTCGACTTTTTCAGTTGAGAAGAGGAAGAAGGGTTTGGGCGAGCGGGCTGCGATCAGATCAAACTGAAGAGTGATTATGAGGACAAGGAAGTTGAAAGCGGCAGCTTCACAGCCGGTGAAATTCTTGTTCTCGGATATATCATCCAAGGGTCGAATGCCCCAAAAGTGAGGCTCGCTGCCATCGTAGTCGACGATTGAATGCATGAAGCCCCAGGTTTGGAGCGAGCTAACGATGGCCATCGAGGCAGCCACAGCGCCGACCTTCCAGATATTCAACCTTTGGGGAGTTCGTTGAATCATAACGTTGTCCTTGCTCGACGAGGAAACTGCAAAATCATTCAGTATGCTGATCAAAATCAATGTCCAAGTCGGAAAGCTGTAGGAGGAAGCGCAGTAAATCAGGACAAAGACGAAACCGAAAACAAAGCTGCTGCACATTCTGTATGTCAGGTAGGTTTCGATCCGCTTGAAAATGGTTCTGCTTCCATAAAGCGCGTTGACGATCGTGGAGAGACCTTCTTGCTGAAGAACAATGTCGCTGGCTCCCCTAGCAGCATCGGTGGCGCCCGCAACGGCAATACCAACGTCGGCGATGCTCAGAGCTGGTGCATCATTGACTCCGTCTCCGGTCATTCCAACGACATGGCCCTTTTGTTGTAGTGATGTGACAACTCTGTGCTTGTGTTCAGGGCTGACACTGGCAAATCCTCCCGCCTTCTCGCATAGGTTGGCGAATCCACCGGCTCGGTTGGCTGCCAGCGAATTCGGATGGAAGACTTCCTTGTCAAAGAACAAACCATTTGGCAGCCCGAGTTGCCTTGCCACTTCAATTGCAATCAGTTTTTGGTCGCCAGTTATCATCTTCACCTCGACTCCGAGCTCAGAGCATTTAGACACAGTGTGGGCTGTATCTGATCGAGGAGGATCCAGGATGGACAGAAAGCCAACCAATTCCCAGCTGTCCTCTTCCAGCTGGATGCAGACACCAAGAGTTTTGAAGCCACGTGCAGACTTTTCGTCCAGCGCCTTCTTTGCCTTCTTGTAGGTCCCCTTGTCAACGCCGCTGAATGACATGAGCACGGGAGGAGCACCCTTGACAACGCATAGTTCTTGTCCTGTGGATTTCTTGGTGGCGACTGCGGTCACTTTTTTGGTAGCTGGGTCAAACGGCACAAACTTGGACAATTCATAGTCTGCCAAAACAGTGGCAGGGTCCTCGAAGAATTTCGTTACCGCCTTGTCGATGGCGTCGGAGTGCTCAATGCGGCTGCAAACCAAAGCCAATTCCATCATGTCGTCGACGGTGTACTTGTCCTTTTGAAAGACTACACACTCTTCCTTGATGACAGTCATTTCGCCCAACGTAAGGGTGCCAGTTTTGTCGCTGCAAAGAATGTCCATTCCTGCCATTTCAGGGATGGCGCTGAATCGTTGCACCAAGGCATCATCTTTGGCGAGCTCTTGTGAACCAACAGCCAAGGTAGTGGTGAGGACGAGGGGCATTGTGACTGGAAGGATTGCACTTAGAACAACAAAGGCAAGCTTGAAGCTTTCGGCAAGGCTGGATCCGTCGAAGTTGACACCAGTGTAGACCCCGATGATGAGAGCAGCCAACAATCCGTAAACGCACAGAAACATGGCCACCTTGGACAACAAGTTGGCGAGCTCTCCGCCCTTTTCCTTCTCGGCCTTGGCATCTGCAATCAGTGCTTGAGTCGTTCCAAGGGAAGATGTTGCTCCAGTTTTGGTCACAATCATCTCACCCTCGCCAACCAAAACGACTGCGCCCGACAAGACGGATGCGCCCTTGCCCTTCTTTTCGGGAAGGGGTTCGCCTGTGAGGGAGGAGTAGTCAAGTTTCAATGGTTCGCCGTCATGGACGACGATTCCATCAGCGGGAATTGTCATTCCGATTGTGACTGCCACTAGATCCCCTGGTACGAGTTCTCGTGTGGGTAGCTGGACCCATTCATTGTTGCGGCGAACTCCCACCTTGGAAGCACTGGCGGCCTGAAGTTGTTTCATGGCATCACCAGAAGATTTGGATCCCATAAAGTCCGCGTAGACTACCAAGTTCAGTTCAATAAAGAGGAGAACAAACGAAGCCCAGTCATTGAGGTTGTTGCATTCGCAATCGTCGAAATTGGGGTCTTGTGTGCAGTCCGACCAGATGGCGGCGGACAAGACAGCAGTGGTGGTAATGAAAAGTGGAACAATTCCAAGGTATCTCGATAGGATTTGGAGGATAATAGGTTGTTCATTGATCACTACTTCGTTGAACCCGTGCTTGGCGAGAGACTCTTGTGCTTCTTCATCGGTCAAGCCGACAGGGTTGCTACCGTCCATTCCGATGAGCTTGGATGACAGAACGGACGATTGATTTTCTTCGTCGATGCTGGATGCAGGCATTTCAGAAAGATCTACGTGATCAAAGGAATTTGACATCTCAGTGACGTTATCATTCTTAGTGAAGGTTGTGTTCATAGTTGTTTGGAAATTAAAAGTTGTAGTTGTGTTGTAGTTGTGTTGTAGTTGTGTTATTGTTCGAGAGTTGTTTTTATGAGCTGTTGTGGTGGCGAGGATGATCCTTGCTTGATACAGCTTGGGAGCTCGGGAGTGAAATAATGATCTCAACTGTGACCCGACTGAGTTTGATCGTGTTGATGATTGAAGCTGGTTCCAGTCCCACACAATGAATGGCTGGGGAGCTCAGCAGTTCCACGCTCGTAGGTACCGGTAGGTTGTAACGTGGATACTACACAAAGCGAAGATATTCATTTTTCCAAGATGAGCAATCAAGCCCCAGAAGTAGCACTTGCAAGGTCACAAATAGTAGTACTAGCTAGCGGGTACTTGTGGTCTTCCACCAGGATGCTACTCTACTAGGATGTAGCACACGAAGATCGACATGTCGAGTTCCCCCTCGGTTATTTAGTTAGTGGGATTCATTGAATGCTTGGGCCATTGTCTGGCTTTTCCCACCTTCACGAATACCGTATCTTTGGTCGTCTCTGATCCTGTGGTCCTCGTCATGGTGCTGTTCTGCTCCTTTCTGCCTAGGAGGAAACAGTCCATTGTTCCAGCGGCACTCCGTTTCATGCTTTTGAACCTACGGCATTCCACAAGCCACTATAAAATCCACGACAAAGAACTAAGATACAGCTGCAGAGAGTGATACGAAATGCAAAAAGATAAGTTGCAAAATACAGCAATGGGTCTTTATTCATGCTAGACGTGTTGTGCGTGTTTGTTTGTTTGTTTGTTGTCGTCGTTTACACTCGTTCTCCTTTTTTTCTTGTTGTTGTCTTTTATTTATTGTCAGTCAGTCACAAACTCTACTACAAAGTATATTTTTGTTGTTTACTCTTCTAGATCGACGGGATCAATCAACAATTCGGAGAATTTCTTCAATTTTTCGACACCTCTAACTTCGTAATCGAGGAGTGGCATGAGAATGACGTGAAAGTCTTCCCCGTATAGATCAAAGCACTGTCCAATGTACTTGTCTTGCATTCTCTTTCGTGCCATCATTTTGGAGCATATTTCTTGTGCTTCCTTTGGCAAATTGTCCTTGTTCCCTTCGAACCATTCGGATAGTTCTTCGGCATCCTTTTCGGGGAAGAGTACCTGATTGACGACGATATTGTGTGAATTGATACCGAATTTGGACAATTCTTGGACGAGACGTTCGGTTTCGTAAATGGACAAGAATTCGGGAATGCAGACGCAGACCTGATAAACGAAATATAAATAGAAGTAAGTGAGGAATACATAGTGACGTCTTTTGATTGGTTGTTTTGGTTTGTGATTGTTACTTACAAAAGTAGTCAAAGTAGGATCCTGAAAGGCATCATTGACCTTATTAATGACGGCTCGTGTTTCTTCCAATCGTCCCAGCAACGCATCTTGGGCTTGTGCTGGATTTTGTCCTCCTCCCATGAGTGCCGAAGTGGCTTGTCCAATGAGTCCACCGAATCGGTCCTTTAGTTCCATGACCTTTCCAAGCGCCTTTTCCAGAATGGTCGGAAAACTGAGCAGACGCAGGGTGTGCCCTGTAGGTGCCGTGTCAAAGACGACGACATCAAAATCGAGCGACTGTACTTGCTTCATGAGCTCGGAAAAGGACATGGCCTCGTCGATACCGGGAATGCTGTTGGAGAGTTCCCCCATAATGTTGCCAATGCCACCTCCCGTTTGATCTTCTTCTTCTTCCATTTGTCGTTGCATTTCGTCCATGTCTTGATTGGCGTCGATTTCCATGGCACTGAGATTGTCAAATCCTTGAATGGGCGTCGGCTCTCGACCAATTTTCTGGCAAAAGGCGTCGCTCAAGTTGTGCGCCGGATCCGTACTCACAATCAACACCTTCTTGCGCGTCTTGGCCAATTGAGCACCCAGACAGCAGCTAGTAGTCGTCTTACCGACGCCACCTAGAACAACACAACAAGAGAGGACGGCCATCAATCAGTCCATCCCGGCATCACATCACACTCTTACTCATCGGTCAGTCAGTAAGTCAGACCCAGACTCACCTTTTCCACCGACAAAGACCCATTGAAGCGTCTTTTGGTCTATAATGTTCTTGAGCGAAGGATCGGGCAAGTCAGAGTCGTCAAATTCGTCACCCATTGTGATACTATCTATTAGACTATTTGAGTAGGAGAGAGACCGACAAACAACAAGTAGCACCGTAATAATAGAAACAAGAGGACAATGATGATGGCTTTGCTGTCTCGGTCGGATACTTGATCAGGGTCGTTTGTGGCTTTTTCGGCTCTCCACGTGGAACAAAATCGTCCCTCCATTCGATACTTAACACCGTGTCGCACCACCAACCCAAAGCCTTAACGCCATTTAGCTTTAACGCTAATCAAAAATGAGCCATCGTTCAACCGACGACCTCCAATCCTCCAACACAACATCAACACACTCATCACTCACTTTGGCTTTGTGGGGAGATACCATACTTTAGAAGCACTAGCTAGCTAGACCATGACACGACAATCACAGCAACAACATCAAGCACCACCGTCCAGATGGATCCTCTTGCCCATGCTTGCATGTGTCCTTTCACCGTTGGCAGAATCATCGATGTTTGGTAACCGCCAAAGATTTGCCTCCAAAAGACAACCGATGGTTTCAGCATCATCATTACATGTTTTGGATCTTCGAGGAGGAAGTACCACAGTAGCAACAGCAAAAGAAGACGACGAAAAGAAAGAAGAAGAAGAAAAGCCATCTTCTTCTTCTCTCATGACAGACAAGTACCGCATGCAACAAATGGTCCTCCTCCAATCCCGATCGGCGCGCTTACGCCAAGAATTGGTCGACCGAGGTGTCTTGACGGACGTCCCGACAGGAGATACTTCCACCACCGCCGAACCGGTCGACTGGGATTGTGCTCTCTCCACACCTCGCCATCCAAAACGATGTCTGTATTCGTACGATGCCCAAGAATACACCAAAGTGGTGGCACCCATTGGGTCGAGTGATTGGATTGGACTTGCTACCATGAATCGATTGCGTCGCACAGACCCGTCCAAATTGGAACCCATGTGGCACAACAAATACGCCATTCACCGGGCGTGGTTTGGAGCTCATTCTCCGTACAGTCTCTATGCTCATTTGCCGTGGCAGGGATATCTCTTGACCATTCTACTGGATGTTCCACTCGTCCTCAATATTTTTGTTGCGACGATCTTGGCGATTGTCGTCCATATGACCCGTCCCATTTGGGAATCCCTGTTGGCACTGTTATTGACGTCTGGTTTACTGTGGAAACAATGGCCGCATTGGTTCCGATTTGCCCATGCGGCGTTGCCGTTTAAATTGTTAATGGGTCAAATGGCATGGAAAAGTGTGGGAATGGTATTTGGCAAAGTGGCGCATCAAATTCGGGAGTATCTCATTACCATGGAAGGACAAATCTGGGAAGCTTCTATTCCCATTACGGTGGTGGATGCCGGTGATGAAGCGATTGTGGCCCAAAAGACGGGATTTCGATCCAGTAATGATGAGGAAGCCGACGAGGACATGGATGACGATGAGGATGACATGGATGATGACGGCAGTGAAGAAGAGGACGAAGAAATCAATCTAGATGATGACGACGAGAGTGATGACGGATCCGACTTTGAAATGATCACCAAGTTTGGAGGCGAAGAGAAGCGGTATGTATTCTGATCCTCGTGATGGCAGCAACAAGGAAAAAGAATGATGTAACTTATAAAGATCACTGAACCAACCAGCAAACTGTGGATCCAATACAAAAAGTTTTGCTTCATTCAACATTTAGTTGGTGGATTGTTCTCTACCGTACTGCAATTTTAAAAGTCTAGCACTTTCAAAGACTCAAGCACTACTAGCTAACTAGCTTGTCTACCGATAGTGTTGTGTTTGCTCGCAAAAATGCAATGATCACATCCCAACGCACGCGCAGGAGAGGTTCAAGCAGCTCTGCAGCTCTACCGTACCGGTAGCAGTACAAAGTACAAAGTGTTGACCACATCACCGTACCAGTTCACCGTCCACAACGGCTCTTGATGCCGAGGCTCCTTGTTGCCTTTCACTTTCATATTCCTGGTTTCTTCTCCCCCACCAGGTTACTGTAGTTCAGTTACATCACTTGCAACTAATACTAGTACTACTTTGAGTATACGTTTGAGAGTCTCTGTTAGTTGTGCAACGAGAATTGCATCACATCAGTATTGAATTCATTTATTCATCATACAATGTCGTACAAGGAAAGTCGATCGGATCCACGATGGTGCCGTGGCTCGGCCGGTCGAATTGGTGAATTCGGAGTGATTGGAGCCGAACAAGCAGACGAGACGTACTACGACGATCGGTCTTCTGGTGATGAGGAGGATGACGATGGTGATTTTGGTCAATCGGCCGTGGGTCGCATCAAGTTTTCCAAAAAGCAACTCTATGGCCGACAGACGGAACTTTTGCAATTGATTGATCTATGGGATACGCACTGTCAGCAACATCATGATAGTACTACTACAGATACTACTACTAGTAGTAGTAGTTGTAGTCAAGAGGGTGGCAGTAGTACCATTCCGTGCACGGCCTTTATTGCGGGATACTCAGGCTGTGGCAAGAGTACCTTGGTGGAAGAATTCGTCAAGCGACTCCTCAGAAAACAAAAACTGCAAATAGTACAGAAGCGGCAAAGCAACAATAAAGAACAACAACCACCACAACAAGACAATGACAAGGAGAATGCACCACCACCCCCATCACAGGAAGAAGAAGAAACATTGCCTGGAATACTCTTTTTGAGTGCCAAGTATTCGCAGCAACAATTGGGCAAGGGAGTTCCATTCGGCGCCTTTGGCAGTCTCTTTGATCATTTGGATGATGACACGCAAAAGGAACTCCAGCGAGTTCTCCACAATGCACAAAATGCCATGGGTCAAGAAGATGCCAGAATTCTAGGACGCATCTTTCCCGGACTGGCTGGATTGATGGGCGACTTGATGCTGCCATCTGGTGCCAGTAGTGTCGCCAGTAACATTAGTGGCGCTACTGGATCCAATAGTGCCGGATTTCTTCTGCATCGCAGTAATCATCATCAATCCACTGAATATCAACATTCTAGTAGTCAACACCGACAACAACAAACCAACAGTCCACACCACCACCAAAATCAACATAATCAAAACAACAATAACAACTACTTGACGGATGAAAGTGAAAACAACAAATCACAAGTCTCCAATTCCACTCAAAATACAAACAACAACAACAATAACATGCCCTACCAACGCAGTAGTAGTCAGTATCAACGAAGCAGCATGAAAAAGGTCGACAAAGAACGATTGCAGTTCTCACTGCAGTACTTTTTTCGACTCTTGGGAGCCAACAAGGAGAGACCACTCATTCTCTTTCTCGATGACTTGCAGGTAAGTGTAGTGTGGTTAGTATACCATGAAAAAGTTGTCCATTGCTGCAGCTACTCGTGTATGTTGTACCTCACTAATATATGTATTTTCTCAGTGGTGTGATCAACAAAGTTTCCAATTCTTGAACAAATTACTGTGTGATCCAAAACTGCCATTTCTGTTCTTTATTGGGGCGTATCGATCGAACGAGGTCACGGACGAAAACCATCCATTGAACAAACTCATGCATGATATTGAACAAAAGAGAAAACCACAATCTACTACTACCGACAATCATGACAACGAACAATCGATTATTCCATCCATGCTACACTTGCAATTGAAAGAACTCACCATTCACCATGTCGGACAGTTCATTGCCGATTCACTACATCACGATATTCACCATGTCGAACCACTCACCAAAGCCATTTTCGCAAAAACACTCGGCAATCCACTCTTTACACGACAAGCACTCGAACAGTTGGTGCGCAAAAATGTACTATACTACGATAAAATGATGTTTGAGTGGGCGTGGAATCTCACGTCGCAAGAAGAACTACAAGATCTCATTAGTGATGATATTGTCGAAATGGTAAAGAGCAAAATTGCCCATGTACCTCGCGAAATACAACAAGTACTCGTCGTGGCGGCGTGTACGACGCGATCCGGGGGAACCTTTGATGTCGAAACGTTGCTCGAAATCATTCTCGTCGCATTGCCAGAAGCCATTACCACCACGGACAAAATTGCTACGCCTGCTACCATTGAGGAGGAAGAGGACAATTATCTGGTGGAAACCAAAAAGGCCGAGTTGATCCATCTATTGGATCAAGCCGTCATGGAGGGATTGTTGCTGCAGTCGTCGTCGCAATCATCCTCCACAAATAACACTGGGATGGAATTCTCCTTTGCACACGATCGCATTGAAGAGGCCGCACGGAGGTTCATGAATGACATGTGTCACGACAACAAGCACAACGAGGAGTGTGTCATGGCCAAGATTGGCGAGGCACTGTTTGCTCGATCCAATTCACCTCATGGAGAAGATTGGATGTACTTTGCTGCTGCGCAGCATTTGAATGCGGTCGACATTGCGGCTACCGCTGCCACCAACGACTTGTCGCAGGAAGAACTCACGCAACAACGACTACAACTGGCCGAACTCAATCATCGAGTCGCCCAACTCTCTCTGGAGCTCATGTCCTTTGACGCATCGATTGACTATTGTCAGCATGGGATTGAAAACATGTTGGCGACATGTAGTAGTGGCAGCAGTGAAAAGGACAACAATGCTTCGATCTGGGACACACAATACGAGTGCATCTTGTCGCTGTATACGATTGGAGCAGAAGCCGCGTACGGAGTCGGAAATGTCGAACTCGCGTCGACGTATTGCGAGGAAATCTTGAAGCACAAACCAAGGAGTATCATTGACTTTCTTCCTGCGTACAAAGTAAAGCTCGATATGTTGAATGGGCAAGGGATGGACAAAAAAGAGGACGCGTTTCGCATTGCGTTTTGTGTGCTGGAGAAGATGGGACTCAAGTTTCCCAAGGGGAAACATATGCAACGGATGACTGCATGGAGTACACTGAAACAAGTCCGACTGCGCTACATTCCAACCGAGGAGTCGATTAATGACATGCCTCATGTGTCCGATCCAGTTTTGATTGAATGGTTCGATATTCTCACAACCGCGGGATCGTTTGCATACCAGGTATTTAGTTTTGCAGCAGGAGATTGTGTTGCTGCTATCATAATGGGAGCATATCTCTCACATGTCTCTTTTCCCGCATTGTGTCCTCCTTCCTTCCCAGTGCAACAACATCCCCTTGTATGTTCTGGTTTGTTGTGAGGCATTGCGCTGGATGAGCAAAAATGGGCTTACCGATGGATCTGCAGGAGCGATTGCCTCGTTTGCCAATCTACTCATGCACGTGTACGGGGACTTTAGTACAAGTGTTGAACTTGCAGAACTTGCCATTCAGATTACAAACCGCATCAAGAGAAAATTCAAGGAGCCTCGAGCCCTAAACACCGCCAATGCTTTTGTTCTTGGTTGGGTGAAACCCCTGAGGACGTGCTTGCCATATCACGCTCGTGCTCACGAATCAGGCCTGGCGTCGGGAAACATTGAGGGTGCCAGTGTTGCGAGATTGTGGACATCCTTTTCCATGTTCTATGGCGGCATGCCCTTGGCCCAGTTGGAAACTTATTGCAGAACTGGTATTCCGCAGCAGCGCAAAATGGAACTGTTTTTTGATGCGAACCAGATTGCCATCGTGTGGCAGGTAAGTGAACGTACATTGTGTTTGGCCCTGCCTCGTTCTTGGTTCAGAACGTCCAGCTCAGCACTGTATCTTTTCGGTGACTACCAGGCAGCTCTGAATTTGATGGGAGGGTCAGATAATAATATTGTCTTGGCTGGAAAAGCAATGGACGAGAAAACGGAACCATTTTGCAACATGCCGTTTACGATGGTGGGGGCCATGTGGAAACGGTACCTTTGCGTCTTTTTTGGCGAATGGGAGGAGGGCAGCAAGAATGCACTTGAGGCTGGTGATATGTGCGAGAAAATGATTGCTGGGATGATGTATGGCATGGAGCCACTGATTCGTGGTATTTTGCTGTGGGTCATGTTACGAAAGAGCCACAAAACAAAAGAAGCATCAAAGTACAAGAAGCCTGCGCATCGACTCCTCAAGCAGATGAAGGATTTGGTCAGCAAGGGGTGTGTCAACGTGGCCGGTCCAACGAGGCTAATGGAAGCTGAGCGCCTTGCCATGGCTGGAAAGAAACGCAAGACTCGTGCTGCTTTTGAAGATGCAATATCGATATGCCAGAAAGGCGAGTTTCACCAGTATGCGGGCCTGACCCATGAGCGGTATGCAGAATTTCTGACGGAGCTTGGCGATGCGGAAGAATCCAAGCTTCACATTGCACGAGCTATTGAGTGTTACAGCAAATGGGGTGCACGAAAGAAGGTGGATCAGCTCCGTCAATCAAGGAACAGGGACAACGGAGAAGAGAGGGAAGCAGCGCGGTAGGGTAGCATTTTAGACGTGTTTGGCAATGATGAAGAATTTATGTCATTGCTTGTAGCTCAATAGAATAACCCACCCGTAGCAGCAAGCTGCTCGAAGGCAGTGCAGGTTGTCTTCTCCAGGGGTGTCGATGCGCCCCCCTGCTATTTTCACTTCATAGCCTGGAATATTGATGATGAGCATCCTCCCATCTGCAGAGAAATACCATCTGCAACCATTGACCATTGGATCAAGGAGAGCATCAGAATCCAAACCGGTACCGTACAGCATGGCACGTGCCCAAAACCACCAATGGATGCATTCGTCAAGTTTCATCTTACTCTATGGGACAACACAAGCATGCGATTCTCTTTCGGGAGTGCATAATCTGTGATTTCTCTGAGTGAGAGTGAGTATTGAGAAACCAGATTATCAGATTCGATTGAGTGATTCAAACCTAGAGAAATATCAAAGCATGACACCAGCACAAAAGGCCACTTCCAGAAACAGGCAACACGGTTTTTGTGGGTAGAGAGCGCTCATGATTCTATCAGAAGACTCGACCAATCTTTCAAAACTATGGAGTAGCAGCGATACAAACGTACACGTAAGATAGGAGACCAATCCATGCCGGATATTGTTCTTTGCATTTCTTCTCTCCTGGCTGGCTGTGGCGTTTGATTGAAAAAAATGGAATTTATCAAGAGCTGTTTTCATTGGCATTTGATTCCTTCTGGAGCTTATTCAGCAACATCTTGTTTCTCCATCTCCCAGTCTGAGCACGTACATCCCCAGCAAATACGTGGGGGTAGCACAGGTACTTGGAGAAGGTTCGACAGGATTGATCCCAGAATACTTGTCTCTCGGCATCCTTAATGTCGGCTTCTTCCACTCCTGTGGCTTGAATGATTTCCATTCTTTGATAGTAGTTCAGTTTGAGCTTGTGAGAGCCCACCTTTCTTCGCTTTCCCTGACGCTCCTTTTCAAAGTCATCCACTGTATGAGTGCCCGATTCTTTGTACTCCCAACTGAGGCCCACGGGAGGACCAATCGAAACGCTTGGATTGTCACCCAAATTCATGATATATTCCCGAATACTAATCTCCCCAAAGCTTACATTTTGATTACTGTTGCTCTTGTGCTTGGTGAAGGCGCTAGTAGCTGCTGTCATTGAGATAAAAGTAAGAATGAAACACAGACAACGTCGGTAGATAGTAAAGGTCGGTACCAGGTAAGGTGGAAGCGCAGGCGTCGAGGTGCCAAGGCCGCCATGCACAAAAAAAACTAATTTTTACAAAAGTTGATACGTTAATTAAGGAGGTACCACCCGCTTTTAGTCATGAGTTGGGATTAACAAGTAAAATCGCGACAACAACAACAAAAAATCGCTGAATTGGACTGATCAGTTGAGTAGAATAAAGACCTCTGTTAAGGCTTTGACCAATACAAAGAGTACTTATAATATAACAAACAAGAGTATCCCGTCGAGTTGGAGAGTCCCTGGGGCTTAGACTGTTTAGTTCAGTGTTAACTCTGAAATCGGTCGAAAATCGACCGCTAAGTCTGCTGCTACTGAGACCTATCGACCGGAGCCCCTGCAACTGTCCAGCCAAGTCCCTCCTTCTTAACAACTATGTTTCGAAGATTTAACTGAATGGTAGGTACTGTCAAATATGAGTACAACAAGCACAACAGCCAGTCCCAAAGAGGAAAAACGATGTTGTTATTGTCGCGATTTTCTCGAGTAAAATGCTGTGAATCCCGACTCGTGACTAAAAGCGGGTGGTACCTCCTTAAGGAGCGAGGGGGGCCAAGCTAGAGCAGTGGTATCGGTCGTGGGTATCAGGTACCGGTAGTGCTGGGAGCGGGGAGGCCGGGAGCAGGGCAAAATGGGGGCAAGGGGAAAGCATTGAGCAAAAGGAGGAAGGAGAGGGGAAGTCGAGAGGGAGTAAGGGGGCAAGATTAGCGGAAGAGTGCAAGTGCAACCACCATTGGCATCACACAGAGAATGGTGGTAGCTCATTGTGCATCGATCCACGATCCGTGACAAGGTCGAAGGTCGTGGCGTCGTGACGAGACTATGCGAGGACCGTTTTTTTCTCTGCAGGATAAGGGGTAGGTACCCCCTCCTTGCCCTTTTTGACTTTGATGCATGCCATATGTACACTCACGTAAACTATGTACCAGAAAGGGGAGGGGTAGCTTTTATACGTAGACTGTGTACCGGAAAGGAGACAGGTAGCTTTTATACACACATCTTCATAGCATGTTCAAACATCCACTGTACAGCCTTACCCATCCACAGCCTGATGACATCATCCATTTCAATTTGCTTGTAGGTTGCACCCTCTTCAGTGAAATTTCCTGCCTGGTCAAAGTATAAAGCTCATGAATCAGCACAATCATCATAATTGACTGCACCATGCACCCAGATTCCAGCACCAACTACGGTTGCCAACAGACGCTGAGCTTAGATTTAATTCCATGGTAAGGACACATAGATTTGTAGGCTCTGCAAGATTTAGGGGAGGGTACCCTACCTTTGGTCCCAAACTTGATGCTGCTTGCGCACCATAGGAAGGGGAGGGGTACCCCTCCCATAAGGATTTGGCAATGCTGCTCCATGGGGGGCATAAACTATACTACTTAAAGTCTAACCTATGCCACTGGTCCTCTATGTGTTAGATGGGACTATGGGGAGGATTGGTTGCACAGGAAGGTGCACAAACGCAAGTCGAGCAATCGATCGAGTGAGCAGAGCAGCATGACAAATACATCTGGCGCTGTACGGCATAGTACGGTATGGTACAGTATCTATGGTAGCGGTGCTGACTAGTATTGTGGCTCTGCAGGCTTTTCCCGCATTTCCGGTACATAATATTCTGGACGCAACTGTTTCTGAACTAGTGGCGGGGGTTAAGAGTGGTCTGGCCGTGGCACCTACTAACTAGCTAGGTGTTTCTTGCCCCTACCTAGCTAAAACTTGAAACAATGTAGGCTGGGCATGCCTCCCTCACATTCAAAAACTTCTAATGTTCACTGGGTCATTGGATCTGGTTATGGAATGAGCGGCATCCGTTGGCGAAATGCTGGCCTTGTTTGGGCCAGGGCTCCTCTTTGGTTTGTCATCACTGATCTGGTCAAGAGCTTGTCGTAGCTCTCTTCGAGAAGATCGAGAAAGACTGCAGTCGTGGACAACCAGCCATGGGGGGCCTTCTTTCAAAACACGTTGAGACAGGAATGGGATCAAGATAGGGCCGGTGAAAAGAAGAAGCTAGCTATGGAAAGCCTCCGAGGCCACCTGACAGAGTACGACGCCTCGGCCGAGTGGGATCTGATTTCTTCTCCATTGCAGTCACCTCCAGCCTCCAACTCCAAGACCAGACTACTCTCGAAGAGGAGGACGAAGCCATGGTACCGCTCACCCACCAAGATTCTCGCCGTGCAAACTCTGCAGGATGATGAAGCTCTTCTTCAAATTGAAAGCGTTACAGTTCCTCCCACGACTCAGAGTACCGACTCATTGAAAGGTACTGGTAATGAGAAATTCAAAGTTGACCTAGCCATTATTTCTTTCTGTTATCTGTTTGAGATGAGTGTTAAACCTATAGTTGCCATTTGAAAGTAGAGCATTAACAGATAATTCGGACCATATACCCACAAGTGAAGGTTTTTGGCAGCTTAAGGGGAAGATTTAACGCAATGACTGAATGACTTAAAGGGAATGACTGAAAGAATGGGTATACACGAATGAAATTGGTGCAGGTTTCAAAATGAAAAATCCTCATTTCCACCGTGTTGAGAATTGGGGAGTGCTTGTTCTCCACAGGAAAGTGACAAAATCGCCAAACAAATGTTACAGCCCCATGCAGAACAACAAGGGGAATGAGGCCGTAGCATTTGTTTTTATGTTTTTACATCTTCTGGTCAATTTATTCCACTCCCCAATTACATTACCACACTCTTTCAATGCGTCGGTATCCGTGAATAGATTGGGTCATGCTTCATGAGTCAACACGATGGAACAGAGAACGCTGGCAAGAACACGTTCTCAATGAAACCAAAAGAAATGGCAAACTGGAGTATTCAACAGGAGTAAAGCATCCTGCCAGCGAACCGTTTCACGTAGATCCCACGTTGACTTCCGTATGAATCAAGATCAACTACCACGATGCATTGATCTAACACGCTACAAGCTAGCTTTACTGATCGCATCAAGCAAAGCTCACAACACAAGATTATGAATTACTAAGAAGTGAACTTTGCTGTTTACCTTGCACTCGTCTTGAATAGCGCAGTTGATATCGTTGGGTGGTAGCTACCTCTACGAGATCCCTCTATTCAAGTAGTATTTCCTCACGTTAGCAGATTAACTAGTCGCAGTTACGCACTGCCACATCTCCATCAAGATGTCCGACGAAGCAACCAAACTCAAGCACGTGCTATGCAACCTATGCGGCAAAGAAGCTTCCACTTCAGGGTATCTTGCATCCCACTTGCGTCTCGCATTGGCTGTGCACTACGCTAAAAGCTAGTGTAAAGATCTTTCGAGTGTTTTTGAGTTTGAGAGAATGAAAGTTATGAGAGGATTAGAAAGCTATGAAAACTAATCAACGAGAGGGATCACAATCAAGGGATCGTAGATCTGACTCCCGCGGGAGACTGTATAGTGTGATAGAGTAGGTTGTGGTAGTATCCTACTCGTTCCACGATCCAAAAACGGAACGCGTGAAGATTCGTCTAGCATTTATCTAGTAGCGTGGAATCTCTCCACGCCAGCTAATATCTAGGGCGATGTTTCACCATCGACCTAGTATGACTAGCGGTCATGAGAACCCTGTCTCAATGACTATTCACGAGAGACTCAGTCATGAGTCGAACTCAAACCCTATCTAGGATCGAGTCGCGAATAAGGCTAAGAGCCGTGTATTGCATTCGCCCCCTGACAAGGGTCACAGAAGGCACGACATCAGTCGGACAAGGAGAACATATGATTTAAAGTGCGGGGCACTCTCATGAGATTGGATGTAGACATGTGCGTCGCACGATGGCAATCCTACAAGGGGGTCAGGCTTGTATGGGTGTATATACCTTATGTTCCAAGTCTGGTAGACTGTGCCGCCATTGGCGGTAGTATGTTGGAGCCGTACAGTGCCATTGTCATTGACTCGGTCTATAGTGTAAGGACCTTTGTACTTTGGCTGACCGTACTTGCGGTGCTGATACTGTTGAATCATCACGGTATCGTTGACATTGTATTGATGAGGGACACGCGTCACGTTCTCCCTATCGTTGTTCTGTTGGATGAGTCGTTGGCGACATTCCTTGATGTACTTCCAGTTTGCTTCGAAACGGACGTTGTGAATCGTCACGGTTGAACACGAGCTGTGCAGGCGTTGCACGCAAGGTGTATGAATCGTGGCGTTCATTGCGAAGCGAACCGCCGTGAGGACTCCATCCCAGGATCCGTTCATGAGGTCGTCTTGGCACTTGATGTTTTGAACAGCGATCAAGTTGCGTATGGTCTGATGAGCACGCTCGACCATGGAGTTGGCTTGAGGGTTGCGCGTGGTGATGAACTTGCGACGAAGTCCATATTCATCGGAGAGTCTTCTCGACCTCTGCGCGGAACTCACGTCCTCTATCCATGATAACCTCAGCAGGCCATGGATACCGAGTAAGCCACGTTTGTTCTAGATGATGGCTACTTCGTCTGCTGCCTTGGGCAGATCTCTGCAATCTCGAACCATCCGGTTACGGGATCAATCATTGTCAAGCAATGAAGTGTACAGGAATTCTTTTTTCTAGGATCCCCGACGTTGTAGGGACCTATCAGGTCAATACATAGTCTTTCCCAAGGGATCTCCTCGCAAGTCTTTGGAGGCATCAATCCCAGCTTACGCGTCTTGGGTTTGTTCATCTGTCAGCTTTGGCAACGCTGACATACGGCCTGCACAGTCTTGGCAGTCCTTTCCAGGTGTAGTTTGGCTGATGGTTAGTTCTTGCGAGTCTCGCCAGGATGCATCAGCACACCATGGTACCATTCGACTAGCTTTTCTGCATAGTCTTAGGTACGACGATCTTATCGTCCTTAACTACTAAGTCGTAAGACTTATCCCCTCTGGGGAAGATTGCTTCTTGTAGTCGTTTGGCTTGTCCCTAAGGAGTTTCTTGATATCGTTGTCGTCTTTCTGACGATGTTCGATCTCGGGGAACGAGAGAGGGAACTCGCTAGAGGAAGTCCTCTTCGTCTGCAGCCATGACTCAGCGATCTCGCTGGCGTCCATTTTTTCTGAAGAACCGTCGTTGTT